TTTTTTTTAAAAAAAGGAACTTTGGGGAAGGGGTTATTCCAAAGTTTTTAATGATCCAGGCACAATGATAAGTGAAGACCAACTCTACAGCAGCCATCATTGCTAATGAAAGATGTGGGAAGCCCCACTGGTAGTTTCTAGATTAGTGAGCAGCACTAGTCCTACAGAGCGTTTCTTGTTTTTTCCTATCCTATTGGATTTATTTGATTTCTTTCTTTCTTTTTTAAACTTTCTGCTTCATATATAGCTTTGAGATTACCTCAAAGCTCCCTTTTGAAATAACTAGCATTTTTTTTTTTTTTTTGAGTCAGAGTCTCACTCTGTCGCCCAGACTGGAGTGCAGTGGCCGCTCTCGGCCACCGCAGCCTCGAGCTGCTGGGCTCCGCCGATCCTTCCGCCTCAGCCTTACGAGCAGCCGGAATTACAGGCATGCGCTACCACGCCCGGCTGATTTTTTTTGATTTATTGTAGAGATGAGGTCTCGCTGCCCAGGCAGGTCTCGAACCCGCGGGCTCAGGCAATCCACTCACCTCAGCCTCCCAAAGGCGTGGGATGACAGGCTGAGCCACCGAGCCCGGCTATAACTAGTATTTGTAAAATGCAGCTCAAGTAATTGTCAACAGCTAGGCTTTCATTCCTTCTGTTTTGTGGTTTTTCTCCCTTTTAAAGACTTACAGTGCAGGACTGGGGAGCCCTTGCTAACTGATCGGCTCTATTCTGGCACCCTCAAATGTGTGCATGGGTTTGTATAATACAAAAGTGTTGAAGCCCATATCACAGAGTCTCTCACTCTCCCCCAAAATAATTCTGGCTCTGAAGGGTCCCGCCTTGTATGCTGCTTCCTGATAGAAGTAGAAGACGCGCAAGGTGACGTCGTGGTCTGTTGTATGGAGATTGTACATTGCATTTTGTATGGGAAGCATGGAGGAGAGCCAGGGCGGGAAAAGCATTCTCAGCCTCAGCCTCACCCCTGGGTCTCTGGAGTGGCCACTCCATTTGGAGTACCACTGCAGGGGGTGTGGCTGGTCTGTCTCTTCTCACCCCCTTCTTCTTTGCTGTCATGATCTCAGGGAACCCATCTTCCTGGCTCCCACCCTGGCATCACGTTTGTCTCGTAACTGCAGCCCCCACGCTGCACTCAGCAGCATCAGGTCTCAGAACCAAAGCCAGCCAAGACGGGCATTTTCCAGGCACACTAGTTGGTTAATTGGGGAGACTGGAGAGGAAGCTGCTGGTGGGCTCTGGGTAGAAGAAGCAGATTTACAGAGCAGTTCAAGAAGCTTCAGGATCAGAGTCTCTCGCTTATGCGAGCTTCTCCCAGGTCCCTGAACTTAATTTTGTGTTCCTAAGTATGTACCTTTTTCTTAACGAGTCTCCTTCTCCCAAATTCCATAATCTTCAGAGACCCACAAAACCTACATCTGGCCTCTGGCTCTGGTGTATGTATGCAGGGGGTGCCCTCCCCACAAAGAAAAAGAATTTATTTATAAAAAGTTGTGTATGAGCCGGGCTCGGTGGCTCAGCCTGTAATCCCAGCACTTTGGGAGGCTGAGGTGAGTGGATTGCCTGAGCCCACGGGTTCGAGACCCGTCTGGGCAACTTGGTGAGACCTCATCTCTACAACAAAATAAAAAATTAGCTGGGTGTGGTAGCGCGCGCCTGTAGTTCCAGCTACTTGGAAGGTTGAAGCGGAGGGATCGCCGGCGCCCAGCAGGTCGAGGCTGCGGTGGCCGGGAGCGGCCGCTGCACTCCAGTCTGGGTGACAGAGTGAGACTCGCACTCAAAAAAAAAAGTTGTGTATGTATTATTCCATGTTTAAACTTCAGTCACCTTCAAAGTCCTCTCCATTTGATGCAATAAACCTAGCGAGATACGTTTTCCACTGCTCAAAACAGTTTTTGAACTCATCAGTTTTGATGCCTCTAGTGCTTTTGCTGGTTTTTGTTTCACCCCTTTTGCATTGGTAAAATATTTCCCTTTGAGGACTTTTTCATCCGGGAAAACAACAAAAGTCACTCAGGGCAAGATTGGGTGAATAGGGAGCTTGGGGGCCATGCCACTTTTGGTTGAAAACTGCTGAATACTCAGAGCATTGTGGGCAGATGTGCTTGCAAATCACCCAGTATGAAATGGGGTATGCACTGAAAACAATCTCGAAAAAAAAATTTACTTAAGTCGAACTCAGTCTCTCACAATAATGCTAGCTGGTACTCTGATGCCGATGGATTCGTAGAACACTTACCTAATTGGGAAGCCTGTATTACAAGATGCTCGTCTTCCCGAAAATAATCCCCCCTCCTTTTTTTGGCGGAGGTTCCCCTTTGTGTGTGTGTGTGTGTGTGTGTGTGTGTGTGTGTGTTTTAGTTGGAGTCTCACTGCTTTGCCCAGGCTGGAACGCAGTGGCACACATGCGTCACCCCTGTGTCGACCTGCTGGGCTCCGGCGATCCTTCCGCCTCAGCCTTCCAAGTAGTTGGAGCTACAGGCGCACGCTACCACACCCGGCTATTTTTTTATTTTGTTGTAGAGATGAGGTCTCACCAAGTTGCCCGGGCTGGTCTCGAACCCGTGGGCTCAGGCCATCCACCCGCCTCGGCCTCCCAAAGTGCTGGGATTACAGGCTGAGCCACCGAGTCCGGCTGGAGTTTCCCTTTGTATGTTGCTCCCTGATAAAAGTAGGAGACATGCAACATGGATACTATGGCCTTTCTTTCCTGCTTTGGGATGTCCTGGGGGGAATGTGATTCTTGGATCTGCAGCAGCCTTCTTGTGATCTTAAAAGGACCTGATCTCACTGAGCTGTTGGATTGAGCAACCCTGGACATGTCCTCTTCCAGACTTCCGGTTATGTGAGACAGTTAATCCTTACTATTTAAGCCACATTTACTCAAATGCTCTGTGAATTATGACCAAGAGCATCTTAAGCGATACCCTAAGGTCTGCTAACACTGTGCTTTCTCCCTCACTGGAAAGTCCTGCATCTTCATGCTAGATGTGTGACTACCAGGGCACCACATTTACATTTGCTGACAGGACCCATGGCTGGAGCCGCTTCACCAGCACTTGTCCCATCCTCCCAGAGGGGTCAGGGCCTCTCCCAAAAAAATGGAGATGGCCTCTCATGAGTGGGCCAGCATCGCCATGGTGACCTCTAGCTCTGCACTCCCCTGCCTAAGCCCGTTTTCCACCAAATTGCCCCAAATCACCTCTCCATTCTCACACTCTCCCTCCCTACCATGAATCAACCTCACAGCACAGTCAACCTCAGCTAAAGATGAGGAAGTCCACAGTGGGTGCACATAGCCAGGCCAAGAAATGAGTGACAGCAGACTGTGGATTAACCCTCACAGTATATTTGCTTTTAAAAATTCAGAGCAGGCCAGGCTGGGTGGCTCAGCGTGTAATCCCAGCACTTTGGGAGGCCGAGGTGAGTGGATGGCCTGAGCCCGTGGGTTCGAGACCCGCCTGGGCAACTTGGCGAGACCACATCTCTACAATAAAAAAAAAAAAAAAAAAAATTAGCCGGGCATGGTAGCACGCACCTGTAGTTTCGGCTACTTGGAAGGCTGAGGCGGAAGGATCACCAGAGCCCAGCAGGTCAAGGCTGCGGCGGCCGGGAGCAGCCACTGCACTCCAGTCTGGGCGGCAGAGTGAGACTCTGACTCAAAAAAATAAATAAATAAAAATTCAGAGCAATTCCTCCAGAAATTCCACACATTGAAAAAAAAAGTGCAAAATGTCGGCCACTTGGTGTGACCTGGGAAGTGGGTGTCATGGAATAAAGTTGACAGGCACCCAACCTGCTTGACCTGCTTTCTACACAAGGCCCCGAGGAAGCCACTTTCAGTGACAATGTCGGGTACTCAATGAATCTTCCTCCAAGAGAGAATTTCACACAGCACAAGGCAGCAAAGACAGACGTCTGTGACTTGTAGAAAAGAAGAGAGTGCGAGGGAGCACAGCGACCTCCTTGGGGACCCTGGAACTTGCAGGGCAGAGAAGCCATCATCTGCTGAAGAACGGCCTCACCTGGCCTCGGGACTGGGCCACTGACATCACTATCTGGGTCTGCTCTATTCTCCGCTGCTTGGTGCCCAAGTGCTTCTCTCTGTCTGAGAGCGCACACGGGAACAACACCATCCCCTGAAATCACTGAGGTTCACTTCACAGAATACCCATTTTTCCACACCCAGGACCCTGGGCTCCCACTCCCCTACTCGGTCAGTGTTTCTGCCGACACTTCTCCACCTTCTCTCTGGTGGGTGATTCACTAGACCCAGGTCCTACACGTCATTGATCTCAGCCAACCGCTTTCATGTGCCCCGTCGTCTGATCTAATGGCAACCGAACAAATTCGTATCGAAAAGAAACCACTCTCCTCAGGAATGAGCTCTAAACATGATGTGGCCACAGACTCCCCTGAAAGGCATGGCCTTCCTACCATGACCCAACAGCATGAGCTGACTGGAGAACCTGTGGAGCTTGGAGTCCAAGCAGACGAGGCGGAGTCTGCTGAGGTCATTCAGGCATGAGGCAATTAAGCTTGGGACCCAAAATGCAAAATAACCTCCTTTGTAAAATCAAGATCTGGGGTCCTGGATCTGTGGAGCCTTGTCTGCCAAATATTTCTCTTAGAGAGGTGAAAGTAAAGTCGAGTCTCTCCTTGCTTTTGACTGCCCTCAAGCAATTGTTTTGGTTCACTGTAATTGTTCCACTTAAAACTGAGCAGGTTACATTGTAAGCCTGAGTAATCAAGTTAAGGCCCATTTGTTAAAATATAGCAAGTCTGGAGCCATGAAGTCTAAAGCACGATTCTGGGTTCACATCCACAGTCTATAAAACGACCCGACCAAGTCTTTTGATTCTCTGTGGAAGGAAATAATGCAATGAATGACACTCAGGGGAAAGAAATCTTCTACATGTAAAACCTGAATAATAATCATCTTTGAACTGTTTGATAGAAGTGATATAATGAATAAATTGTCATATTTTTAGAATTACCTTAGCTATGAACCACCCTTTATTGGCCAGTAAAGTCAAAGGAGAGACGAATTTCCCTTTCTTGTAATGGAACCTGCTTGGGATGGCTTCTTTCTCATAGACAGTCATGTGTTCTACAGCACTCAGCTTGTTATATATCTGCAAAGGAAATAAAGAATGATCAGTTTTAAATATCTATGTGAAATTTATATTCAATAATTATGTGAGTGTTATTGGACCTGGTAGAGGGGGTTAAATGTTATAGGTATAAGATCAAGAAAGAAATTCCCAAAACGTCCGAAAGATGGTCTACATAAAAATGTCTCCAAAAATGAGGTGGTTTTTTCTGGTAAGATTGAAGGTCCATACACTCCCAGACCTAACAAGTTCGTGCCTAGAAATATAGTGAAAACCCCTCATGCATGTGCTCGTGTAGACAAGTAGAGGAGTGTATACTGTAAACTGAAACACAACTTAAGTGAGCCATATGGGTGGCAAGGATAAAGGAATCCTAGTGTGGTTCTGCAGTGGGTAGAGCAATGAAGATTAACGAGTTACTCTTACAAAGACACATAGAAAAATCTCAAGGATCTCAACTTTAGGGGGGAAAAAAGCAAGTTGCAGAAAAATACAGACACATTTATTGCTATTATATATTTCTATTATAGTAGGAGTAACCACAAAATGAAACAACATGTATGGTAAATTTTATAATCAAGAGAATTACAAAGATAGTACTCAAAATTTAGGACAGTAGTTTCCTTTGAAGAGGAGGAGGAAAGTGATTGGGTCCGAGAAGGACACACGATGTCACAGGAATTGGTAATGTCTTATTTCTTAAAAGTTTAGTGAATCTACGGTGTCTGTTATAACATTATCCTTTACATCTTACACATTTTATAATATTTCATTTGTATCTACTCAATAATGAATGAACAAATAACAAAACTTAAGTCAAGAATTCCATGCTAAAATTCAAGGGAAAGTGAATAATTGATCTGCTTGATATCAAATATTGCAAAGATCAAAGAAAAAAGGGATTTGTTCCTAAACTTTACCTAGTGCATGCTCTACCTGCACATGAATCTTTAAAGTACTAGCAATGACTTGCTATTAATTACATTGCTAATTTTTTGATGATTATGCAGATTGTGTACACAGCTCTAATAATTAGCAACAGCCTAAATATTTATGGCTAAAATTAAAATTAACTGGTTGATGTTGACTTACTTCTTGCCCAAACCGGGCATATACTCCTGGGTATAACTGAATATAAAATTGAGTGCATTATTCCCGCTCAGTGGCTCACACCTGTAATCCCAGCACTTTGGGAGGCCAAGACGGGAAGATTGCTTGAGTTCACGAGTTCAAGATCAGCCTAGGGAACATAGCAGTATCTCATCTCTGCAAAAACTCAAAATATTTGCTGGGTGTGGTGGCATCCCCCTGTAGTCACAGCTACCCAGGAGGCTGAGGTGGGAGGATCACTTGAGGTCAGGAGTTTGAGGTTGCGGTGAGCCATGATCATGCCACCGTACTCCAGCCTGGGAGTGAGACCTCTGACTCAAAAAAAAATTGTTTATCAAGTCAACTCAAAATAATTTAGTAGAGGGTTTCTGTTGGCTCCACAAGTTATGATTTCTTTCTTTTTTTTCTTTCTTTCCTTTTTTGAAGTTGGAGTTTCACTCTGTCGCCCAGACTGGAGTGCAGTGGCCGCTCCCGGCCACCGCAGCCTCGACCTGCTGGGCTCCGGCGATCCTTCCGCTTCAGGCTTCCAGGTAGCTGGAACTACAGGCACACGCTACCACGCCCAGCTAATTTTTTAATATATTTATTGTAGAGATGAGGTCTTGCCAAGTTGCCCAGGCGGCTCTCGAACCCGCGGGCTCAGGCAATCTATTCACCTCAGCCTCCCAAAGCGCGGGATTACAGGCTGAGCCACGGAGCCCGGCAAGTTACGATTTCTTAATTCAGAAAATCTAGAGCTCCTAAGGAAAGTGGGATCCATGGACAGAAAGACTTTAAGGGAAAAATCTGGTAACTCACAACAGGTCTCACAAACGGTTGTGTCCACACATGACAAACTGCCCAAACATAGCCTCCACTTTTGAATAATCCACCAGTTGCTCTGAGCTGCCTGCGGTGCCTGCCTAACACACCCCTGGAAGAAGCTCTACCCAGCTCACAGGCTGTTGGTGCCCAAGCATTCTGGAGACTATACCATCCCAAGTGCCAAATTGGAGACAAAGATGAACTTCCTTGCCAAAAAAACAGAACTTCATTTCAAGAACCCGCCAATGTGTAAAATATTCTTCCTGATTTCATATTTAGGGGGCTCATGGGGACGCTGTATTAACATATTCTGCACCTGTGTTTCCTGACCATGGAGCCTGAGAAAGATGGCGCCACACTCTGGGGAACAGGGCGAGGCTGGGGAGCAGAACGGCCCCCAACTCAGGCGATTCTCTTGCCTCCGCCTCCCAAAGTGCCGGGATTACCGGTATGAGACATTCCACAGGAATGTACAGGGTTGGAATGGGGGTCACTCTCTGGGCCACAGAGGTGGGATCCTGGCCTCCACCAGTGCTCCTTCCACACCAATGACTGCCCAGAGCCCATGACATCACGGCTCTGAGGACAGGTAGAGAAGTATGCCAGGGCCTATTCCTGGCACCCTGTGGTGGCAACCTAGAGGTTGAGAGAAGCTTCCTGCTCCAGATCAGTTTTATTTGGGAGTGGGCAGAAGCCACAAAGCCTGTATTGGGAGGTGACTAGGGACTTGGGGACCAAGTGGTCTTCCAAAGGTGCCACTTGTTCCTCCTTTTCTCGAGTGGTTTACCACACACTGCCAAATGTCATGATTTTTCGAAAGAACCGTAAGTAGACATCTAATCATCTTGGGCTACTGAGCTCCTAAGGGTAGTGACAGTAGGAAGCAGGATTTTGGGTCCCATCTGCACACTGGGGGACTCACACAAACCTTTAGGGGAGACAGCCCTGGGTGGCATCACATGCAGCGCGCCCTGCACACCTTTACATGCTTCCCTGTGGTTCACAGCACCCAGGAGGGTGGCCATGATTACATCACCACATTCACTTGGAGAAGCAGAGGGGCCAGTTGATGACAGAGCTGGAATTTGTGGCTCCTGGGATAAGAAGCTGACCCCTGCACACATGTCTCAGCTTCCTTTGTGGATCACCTCAACTGCAGTGAAAGCAGACCAGACCAGACCAGCAGATTCCTCCAGAGAAAGCATATCCTGTGTGTATATACAACATTTCCAGATTTGCCTGAGAAGCACTGCATTTTGGCCAATAAAAAAGGAGCCCTGGCTGGGCGCGATGACTCGTGCCTGTAATCCCAGCATTTTGGGAGGCTGAGGTGAGAGGACTGCCTGAGCCCACGGGTTCAAGACCAGCCTGGGCAACTTGGCGAGACCTCATCTCTACACAAGTCAAAAAATTAGCTGGGTGTGGCAGCATGTGCCTCTAATTCCAGCTACGTGGAAGGCTGAGAAGGAAAGATCACCTGAGCTCAGCAGATCAAGGCTGCAGTGACCATGAGCATGCTACTGCACTCCAGCTTGGGTGACAAAGTGAGACTCCAACTCAAAAAAAAAAAAAAGGAGCCTTAGCTAGGCGCAGTGGCTTATACCTGTAATCCCAGCACTTTGGGAGGCGGTGGCAAGAGAATTGCCTGAGTCCGTGGGTTTGAGACCAGTCCAGGCAACTTGGCGAGACCTAGTATCTACAATAAATAAAAAAAATTAGCCAGGCGTGATGGTGCACGCCCAGACTGGAATGCTGAGGTGGAAGAATCGCCTGAGCCCAGCAGGTCAAGGCTGCGGTGGCCATGAGCAGTGTGCCACTGCACTTCAGCCTGGGTGACAGAGTGAGACTTCCATTTAAAAAAAAAAAAAGGCCGGGCTTGGTGGCTCAGCCTGCAATCCCAGCACTTTGGGAGGCCGAGGCGAATGGATTGCCTGAACCTGCGGGTTTGAGACCCACCTGGGCAACTTGGCGAGACCTCGTCTCTACAATAAATCAAAAATCAACCGGGCATGGTAGCGCACACCTATAGTTCCAGCTATTTGGAAGGCTGAGGCGGAAGGATCGCCGGAGCCCAGCAGTTCGAGGCTGCGGTGGCCAGGAGCATGCCACTGCATTCCAGTCTGGGCGACAGAGACTCCAACTCAAAAAACAAAAACAAATGAGCCCTGGTGAGGGCCTGCTTGTATACACCATGCGCATTCCAAGTACCCCGCATCCCTTATCTTACTTAATTCTCAAGATACCATTATGCCCATGTGAGAGAAGAAAAGCAGAGATGGGGAGGAGGAACACCTGGGCAGAGGCAACTCAGTGACTGAGAGGAAAACTACGTCATCGTCCTCCGGGGCGAGCTCCCAGTGCTGCTCTGTATTTCAGTGTGCAAACTCCAAGGAAGGGAGAAAGCCCAAAGTGGTGGCAGATGAGAGCACATCCCCCCACACTCCCTCCTGGTGTTCTTGCCTCAGCGTGTTTCCCAGGGGCTGGCCAAAGGCTCACAACAGGCCCTTGGTCCTGCGTTTGCTGCAGGTCACTCAGGTTGATGTACTTATTCAGCTCAATCACTTTGTCCATCCAGAAAATGTCAGTCATTCCGTGATCGGAGAACATGATGACATTCAGGTCATCCTGCAGGCTCTCATCCTGTAGGGTGAGCAATGGCGGTCGTTAGAGCAGAGGGAGGGAGAAGGGGAAGGGAGAGAAAAGGAAAGAGAGAGGGAGAGAGAGAGACAGGAGGAGGAAGGGAACAGAGGACGGACTCTTACATCCGAGAAAGCTTGAAACTGAAAAGGATGGGAGAAAGGGTATTTTCTTTTCCTTTTTTAATTTTAAGAATGCGAGGTACTGACAGGATTAAGCAAACCAGTGGTCATCGTACAGGTAAAGTTGGTTCTCCCTTGGGTCCCCACTTTGCCTGGTTTGAGATCAGGTGCCCTTATTGATATGATGTGCCCCCCAGCTGTTTTCTTAATTCTGAATTTAGTCATCTACTCTTCCTCCCTGATAAGACACAGATCAAAACCACAACAAAAGCCCTTCAGGAGAGGGGAGGGTGAAGGCCAGACCCATCACCACATGTGTGGACACATTCCACAGTGCCTTTCGCTTTTCTAGGAACACTGTCTACATCTTCTGTGGCTCCTTCAACTCACGTGTGTGCTAAGAGGAGAACTATTGCTTACTCATATGGGATGTAAAAAAAATAAAGAATAAGAAAGTAAAACAACTTACTTCAAGTTACTCAACAAGCGTGGAGCAGAATTGGAACTGGAACCCCTGTCCAAGCCAAGCTACTTACCAAACTTACTAGGATTCTAAAGAACTGGGTCAGTTCTCTCCAGCTAAGCCAGGCGGGAAACACACTTCGGTCCCACTGGCCTGGCCGTAGGACAAGGGGTCTCCCGGTATCTCAAGAGGCAGAGTGTAAAGAAAAAGACTCATCCAGGCCCATGCCAGCCATCAAGAGTAAGAAGGAAGGTGTCGAGGGCACTGACAGTCAAGGGGACGAACAGAAAGTGGCAAGGAAGAGGGTCAGACCGGGGGGTCCCTGCCTCGGATCACCTGAATCCACTTGGTCATGTGCTGCAGGATGGTGTCCACAGCCTTGAGGGCGTCTTTTCTCTGCTGGGACGCAGGGCCGAAATGGTGACCTTCCACATCGATGCGCTCGTAGTAGATGGCAGCCATGTCAGCCCGGCCACTCCTGGAGGGAGCAGGGAGAGAGGCACAGTTGAGGGCAACCCCTGCCGGCTTGCTCCCTTCTCACCCCCAGGACTCTATGAAGGCCTTCACTCCCTGCCCCCCAAACCTTGTACTTGGACCAGGCAAAGCCAGCACCTCAGCATGAACAAGATGAGACCCCGAGGGAGAAACAGGCATACGGAACCAAGAATGGCCAGTCCTGAGCAGCTTGGAGATGAAAGTCAGAGGCCGTGTCTCCCTTGGCCATGTGGCTCATCATGCCCCAGAGTTGGAAGGTTTGACGAAAGGCAGAGACTCATTCTTACGGCTCCGCCCGTACCACCTGCTGTCATTGGAAGGTCAGAAAAACGAGAAGCAACCATTTGCATAGCTACTGTTGAATCATTATGGCACTTCAGGAAGTCTCTAAATAAAGTGCGGCCTTGTGGGTCTAATTGGCAAGAACAAGAACAGCATTTCCACAGCAACCCTGCAGGAGGCAAACGGATTAGTGTTCGAGGTCTGGCATCAGCAGATACCCCGGAGGCCCCTGTTCTACGGGAACACATGTGAAGGGTCTGTGGAACTGCAGACATGGAGTGAATTCAAGCCGTGACCCCCATGTCTACGGGCCCAGGAGGACCCTGGGTTTGACAAAGCTCCCCTCTTGGCCAGAGTACTGATAGTAAAAATCTAAGCTATTGAACTCTCAGTATGGGCTAAGTATGACTGGAAACCAGCGATATAAACTAGGGTGGGAGGCCTGCAGAATGGAGGAGGAGAGAGAAACACACGGTGCTGTCCACCGTGGCTGACCTCCCCAGCTTTGCCCACAGCTCTCCACAAAGCACCTGAAATAGATCGGAACAGTGATGACTGTGGTGAGGATAACAGTGTTGTTGTTCATGGTGACTAACAGAAGGTGAAGCAATTGAAACAAACGAAAGCTAATTTCTCTGCTTGGACTTTACAAGGATTAACTCTTGGCATATTGTCCTATTCGTCTTGAAAACTATATTTTAAACATGCCACACACACACACACACACACACACACACACACACACACACACACACACACACACAAAGTGACGTGGTGTCCCCTGATTCGGCCTCCGAATGCTTGGAACATGAGGAATAAAACAACGTGTCCCATAGCCTGTGGCACCTTGGATCTTGCTGTACACAGGGGAGGAAAATCAGTCCCATGGTAGTTCAGAGAGCTTGGTCTGCCCAGCCAGAGTTGAACAGCTCCTGCAACCCCTTCGGGTCTCTGGGGAGATATTGCCTTCTCCAGGAAGCTTCCTTGGATGCCCTCAGGCTAGACTGGGTGGTCCTCTGGCGTGCTCCTGTGGCACTCCGGGCCATTAATTTTCATACTGCGCTACTGTAATTATCCATTTATGTGTCTTTTTCATTCTCAAAATTGTGAGATTCTTTCACCCTGGGGAGACCATGATTCACTGCCGAATCTCAACTCTCGCCTGGCATTTGACACCTGTAGGAGGTCTGTATTGTCCATGGATAACCGTAAGTGCTCAATAAATGACAGCACCTATGGGCCAGCCACTGTGTAGAGGGATTGTACACGTGCGCATTATCATATTTCATCCTCAAAACAACCCTGAAAGGTAGGGATGTCTTGAACAGAGAGTTTAAGACCTTTGCCCCTACGTCCCACAGTTAGGAAGAGATGAAGCCATCCAGCTGACGCCCAGTCCCTGAAGACAACCACAGAACACTCTGAAAGAGCTCAGCAGTCCACACCCAGGGGAAGACATTCTGCGTAGCCTTGCTGGTCTTTGGGAAATGGTTCCTATTCTCTCACAAGAATCCCACCAAGGCTTCGAGAGCCGGATGTGAGACAAGGCAAGGGCGTCACAGCGACACCCAGTCACTTTCACTTTTGGAAGCTCAGCGTTCTGCCTGCGGGTTGAATTTGCCTCCAAAGTCTGGAGCCACAGTGAAAAGTCTCCTCACAGAAAAGCATTTACAGATTCTACAGGTGAGGAAATAGGCCATAAAGGGTTCTGGAAGTTACCGAAGGCCTCACAGATCAGAGATACGACTGGTACTGGGAATGTGCTGGGCCTTTGAATGTCCATCTACGCCATCCACTAAACTGGGGAGCAGGTTTCTGAGAACGTTCTGCCGGCTTCTTCCTTCCTCAGTCATCTTGCGGGAGGACACACTTTTTCATGATGCTCTCGGGTTCTACTGGGTACTCACGCATGGCTTTGAGGATGCCGTGGCTTCAAGTTAAGTGAAATGGTTAGTCATGTTCTTTTTGTCTTTGAGAACAAAACAAACTGGCTTCTCATCCATAAGTCTCACTGCCACCCTCCTCCACAGTGTGGACTGGGCTAAGTTATTATTTAGATGTCTCTCACAAATGATATTATCATCATGCATATTTGCTAATGTGTGAATGACTCAGACACACTCCCTCTGCTTCTGTAGACAGCAGAGAACAAAAAGTCACTTGAGGGTCCCACAGGCGTAGGCGGTGGGTAAAAGTTCCCACTAGATAATGGCATTTTCACACATATGCTGGAACTTTGGGGGACCCGTGAGCACTAGGCTGGGGCTGACGGCACTTCCGTCACTGTACTTGAATACTCTGTCCTCAGAGAAGCCTCCGCATTTAGTTGCTTTAGGGATTTAGATCTTCAGCATTCAAGATGTGCTGATTCACACAGAATATTACCTTGTAGATGTCCACACTTCTGGGATGCGACTGATATGAGGAGGGACCCACGAGGGGTCTTTGTAGTACAGCTTCCCTCACTAGGTAAGTGTTCTAGGAACTCAACAGCATTGATGTATCAGTTAGTGTTGTTGTGAGAGGCTGCGTTCTGCTTCAGTGAATTTTTTTCCTGAGATTCTTTAAATGCATCCGCCCATTTCATGACAGATGATTTACAAACGCACCTGCCCACCCTGTGCTGAGTGTTCAGCAGTTTTTGACCAAAAACGACATGACCCCTGTACCCACCCTCCCTATTCGCCTGGTCTCACTCCGAGTAACTTTTTTTTCTGTTTCCCTAGATGAAAAAAGTCCTCAAAGGGAAACATTTTGCTGATGGAGAAGAGGTGAAACCAAAAACAACAAAAGCACTAAAGTGCTGAAAAACTGTTTTGAGCAGTGGGAAAAGCATCTCGATAAGTGTATTGTATCAAACAGTGAGAACTTTGAAGGTGACTGAAATTTAAATACGTAAGTGTAAATGCACATTTTTTGTTGTTGAGTTGGAGCCTCACTCTGTCGCCCAGGCTGGAGTGCAGTGGCACGCTCACCAGCCACTGCAGCCTTGACCTGCTGGGCTTAGGTGATCCTTCCACCTCAGCCTTCTAAGTAGCTGGAACTACAGAGGCACACCACCACACCCGGCTAAAATACACCATTTTTAATAAATAAGTTCTGGTTTTTTGAGTTGCTCCTCGTATGTAGGGAAAATCCTATTTGACATGATGGTGACTTACAACTGCGAGGCCGTTTTCTGAGCAAATTTTGCTGTTGTCCTTTAGTTTCTCATTGTGTTAGGCCCCTCACCTGAAAGCAACAGTCACGGGGCTGGTTCCTTTAAGACTGTTTAACACATCACAAACCAACCGTGTGACCAGGAAGCCAGTAAGGATCACAGTTTACCCAGTGGCCTTGTGTTGGGAAGTTGTCAGTCCCAGAAGATGGGAGCACTGGATTTGGGGAGCTTGTGTGCCAGGGGTTGCACACAGGACTATTGTGAGAAGATTTGATGTTGACGTTTCATTGGTTCACCAGGGACCTCAGTCCTCAAGGGCAGATAGCTCTGACTGGTCAGGAGTTGGGCTGGCAGATGCCTGGTTGCCAGCTATGCTCCACATGGATCTGGTGTGCTCCCCAGGTCAGTTTATTTGCAATGAGCGGGTGGGGTGGGGAGAAACGTGTGGTCACTGATGACTCTGAGGTCCAGGAGTCATGCTGGAGTTATGTACACAACAGCCCAGCTACCTGACAGCTGCAAGGGACCTCTAGCCCTGGGATTTCAGGGACATCCAGGTTTTCCATCATCTTATGATTCTGTCTGGATTTCTTTGCAATGTAAAAAGCGTATAACAAGCCAGGCTCGGTGGCTCAGCCTGTAATCCCACGCCTTTGGGAGGCTGAGGGGAGTGGATGGCCT